GTACTCCCTATTAACTTTTACACATCATCTACAAAATCACTACAGGAACATATGGAAATATCTGAGAGAGACACAGTGGATTGTCTCAGAATAAATCATTCCCCAAATCATTTTATGACTGCCTGAGTTAGTACTCATGGGTCAGAATACCGCCATAGTTAAGGTTTGCAAGTTGCTTAGTAACAAGAGGCGATAAACAAACTCTCCAGGCTATTGAACTGTCCAGTTTCACTACAACTGTTTTTACTTGTTGGGATCAACTGTTTTCTTTTCCATTAAGGTTTTAGCAGCCACTGATAATGAAAGCCAGGGCCCACTAGAAATAGACCAGAGGAAATTTCCTAACTCACTTGTATAACAACAGTTCATCAGCACTGAAGATATATGAAGTGTGAGTGCAGAGCAATGCGAGTGATTAGGTTTCTGTGCACAACAGAACTCTTACATACGAATGAGCACTATCCCCTTCAGGAGAGTCCTCAGGGAACCCGTATGCTTATTTCAGTGTGTGATTAGTCTGGAAGCATTTTTGGACGCTCTCTGGACAGAAAGTGCTTTTGAACACCTTAGTGGTGACAAAGTGTGTCTTTTGAGGATGGATTAGAGTCTTGGAAATGGTACAATGTATTCACAGTACACATCTGTTGTTTTTGTCTACCCAGAAGCCTCTGTCCCAACTTCTCATTGGAGAAGCTGTATTTCTTCCATTGTTCGTTCTCTCTTTAAAGGCTCTTGAGAAGAAAATACCTTTTAATATCTTTTGGAAATGGCCACATCTTTTCCTGGCAATTGAACCCCTATCTTTCTTGGGTGATTACTCCTTAAGTTGTTCAGGTAGGCTGTCTTGACCACTATTTTCAGGGCACAGACATGTCATTTGAGCCTGGCCACAGTCATTGATTCAGGATGGACACATGACTGAAACACCATGATGGCATTCAGTTCTGGTACTTGGATTTCAACTGTTGGTAGGAGAATTTCTCATCCTGCTATGATATAAGCATGAAGCTACTGGCTTCCACCTGCTGCTGCAAACACAGAGCCTGCTTAAAAAATGGAGCCAACATAAAAGGAAGCAGATTTAAGACGTGAGTGATGAGATCCATGGATTATGTACATGTGTGTATATCTACATAATGAGACTAAGTCCTGATTTCTGTGCCTTGATCCAGGTATACTTGAAGCAGAAACTCTCCTGGGACTATTTTGTATCATGAACCCTAACCTCTCTATTTGCCTAGCAGGTTGATTTGGGCTCCTATCTTGCAACCAAGTGAGTCCTGAAATAAACCAGCAGACTAGAACCAGATATGGTTCTTCCTCAAAAAGTGAAGAGGAGGGTATCAAGACATTTATGAAAGATTTCCACTCAACACTGAGCACCGACTAAGTGTTTGGCCTGATAGTTGAGATGAACTGGTTCATTCAGGATGCTGAGGTCTTTCAGCCTACAAGAGACTGCTTTTTTTTTTTTTTTTTTTTTTTGCTCATGCAGACTCAGGGAACCATTCTCAAGGGAGTTAGTGACAGGAATGTCTTTGGCAAAGATGGCACTTTTGAGTATGGTCATAACATGTTATTAATTTCCCCAGGTGATTAATTTTTGAAGAAGACAACAAATAGTTGAAGTTATGAATTCTATCTCTGTAAAAATAGAATTCTATTTTCCCCCTGTAGTCAAACCTCCTGTGGAATGTGAGAACACAGGAATTTCTATTTATGGAGCAAGAACAGTATGGTTAGCACATAATACATATGTTTATTTCAGAGTTGGGGAGAACTCCTGATAGCATGAGACCTAACATTGAAATAAGAGGGCAGTGGGTGAGGAGAAAGTTAACCCTGCACCAGTCTTAAATCTTGTTTTCTTAGCAGCATTTCTGTCGCTTGAACATCTTCCTTGTGTCAGGTTTTTGGTCTTTTCTTAGATTGAAAAGACCAGACTAATAAAGTGTGGCTTTGCTCTGAAATGAGTAAGGTGGGTGATATGGTTTGGCTCTGTCTCCCCACCCAATTCTCATCTTGTAGCTCCCATAATTCCCATGTGTTGTGGGAGGGGCCCTGTGGGAGATAATTGAATCCTGGGGGTGGGGCTTTCCCCTGCTGTTCTCGTGATAGTGAATAAGTCTCACGAGATCTGATGGTTTTAAAAATGGCAGTTTCTCTGCACAAGCTCTCTCTTTTCTTGCTGCCATTTATGTAAGATGTGACTTGTTCCTCCTTGCCTTCTGCCATGATTGTGAGGCCTCTCCAGCCACATGGAACTGTAAGTCCATTAAAACTCTTTCTTTTGTAATTATCCAGTTTCAGGTATATCTTTATCAGCAGTGTGAAAATGGACTAATACAGTGGGATTTCGTTGGTTGCGAGGTATGTGATCCTTGAAACCAAGGAAAGGTTATTGCAGGGCACATGGGCCAGCAGTTCTTCATCATCATCATGCCCTCCTGGGCCTCATCATCACCTGTGTCTGCCTCTCTCTGCAACTGCTCCCTACACCAAGAAACTTCTCCCCTTTCTACTCATCAGCTTTCTTTGCTGACTCATGGTTCCTGCTTCTTCATCCCTTCCACCTGCAGAGACCACAGCTCTTGTTGGCAGACTCTTTCCACTTCAGCCTCCAACTCCAACTGGCCAATTTCTTCCCTGCGTTTTAGTTTACATCCCTGAGAGAACAGACTTATTGGTCCAGTTTGTGGTTTGAAGCCAGATTACCCAGAATCACTGGCTGGCCTATGGGGTAGCTAGCTGAGATCAGAACAGGGCAACATCATGTGAAGCCAACACCAGAGAAGCAGGAACCTCGAGGTCTGGGTGACTGGGTCATACTCCATGGCTATCCTGTCTCGCACAGTTTTGCCTTATGTGCTCATGTCTTTCCTCACAGGCCCTGGTAAAAACAGATTCTGAGGAGAAGCTTAGTGGCTGCCATTTTCAGGTTACCCAGATGTTCCTGTTTCTAGTGGTACTAACTCAGACACTTTCAAAAGTTTTGTAGGAAAGGCAGGAGAAAAAATCATGTCTTCCTTAGCAAATCAAAAATTAGAAAAAGCCATGATCAGAAGAGACGATAGGTCATGGGAGTGGGTGGGGGTCGGCAAGCTAATCTATGAGGGGACAAAGGAAAAATAAAGGGGGTGTCTGGAGAACCAGTCTGAAACTGAGAAATACACTCCAGAGAGGCGTTTTCGTATGATGTCCTAGACCCCCAGCTGCTCCTTGTGCTACCTTCCTATGCCCACTCACAACCCAGAGCTGCACTGGGTCCCATAGGTCACAATGGCCTATGGCCTGTATAGGCTGGTCTGGGAAACTTACCACCATTTATGACCTTGATCCTATAGAAAATGTATTATCCTCACAGTTGAACTAATGGACTTACAAATGGACTTGTGGAGCACAGTTGGTGTGAAAATCAGGAACTGCCTATAAGTAGGTGGCAATTTGGGACTTCTGTCCGGGAACTAACAACACTAAAGAATCAATAGCTTTCAAAAGAAACTTCTGCTCACCTTTGTCACCACCTACTTTGCTCCAAAGAGGAAAGTGTTACTGGGACTTAGTTAGATTTTAAAAAGTGACTTTGACCACGAGCTGATAGATATGTTTATGATTTCTAGGAAAGGGATTAAAAGTAATACCAAATGTTGGGGCCGAAGTGATCAAAGAGTGGGTGCTGCTCATTTGGGAGGTAAATGCAACACATCCCTTTGCCCCTTCTTCTCTCTAGCTTCCAGGAGGGGTGAGAGGCAACCTTTCACACATTCCTTTATTCCTTTCTGTGCTCTCTCTACAGAAGGCAGGGCTGTGCTGCCCAGTAAAGGATGTGTTAGGTAACTTTAACCCAGAAGATCTCAAGCTGAAGTGTGATCAGAAACACCTGGTAAAGTGGTACATAATCCAGACCCTCTCCTGGAATTTGGTCGCCAGGTCTAAGGTGCAGCGTAGGTAGTTGTATTTTTAAACAAGTACCATATATGATTCTGGTGCAGAATGTTATCTATTATATCTGAGAAAGAGAGCCTGGACCCTGGGGCAGAATCTGGCTCTCCTGCTCAACTAAGGGGTGTTTGTGCATGTATACACATGTGTGTGTACTTGCCCTGCTTTAGTCCTGGGTTCCAGGAGAGACCTCTTATCCAAGCAAAAAAAATTTGCTCCTACCTAGCTCAGAAAAGCTCCACATTTGAGTTTGAGGCCAAGGTCAAGTGGAGTAAAAGTTCCCACTGGTTAGGCATAGACCTCTGAGCCAGTACTTCGGGAGAGAGCAGTGGTTATCAACCTTCTGCAAGTTAGAACTGCCTGGGGAGCTTTAGAACATACTGATGACTGCGCTCCACTCCCAGAGTCTGAGATAATTAGTTTGGGTACAATGTGGACATTTAGGATTTTCAGAGTTCCCTGGGTATTTCTGAAGTGCAGCCAAAATTGAGAACCACTGTTTTAAGGAGAAGGACATTTTCTTAGAGCTTTGGCTAAAAACAGTCTTCACTTGATCTTAGCCAAAAGGCTGAGAAGCGATTAAAACCAGTCTTAATGTGAGCCTTTTAGGATGGAGACTATAGAGGAAACCTTGATATTTACATTTCCATAAATCAAAACAAACAAACAAAAAATCAACAATATATAAGAGTATCTGAACTAATATTTACCTTCATATATGGTATAAAAATATTATTAGTTCGGCTTCTTTTGTCCTTTGCATAAAAAGAAAGGCATGGCATAATAGAACTCAGAATTCTCTAAAGCATCTCAGCTAGACAGAAAGTTAACTACAACAATACTTCTGGCTTTAAAGACTTTCTCTAAAGAAACAGAAAAATGTTAAACCTTTATGCTTTTGATTCTCTTTTTCCTGAGACTTAGCTGATCAGATTCATAGTTGATAGACAGCATTTCAGAAATATCTATGGTTTAATTATTTTACTTTTCTAGAAATAGGTAAATTTAATAGCAAAAATAGGAGTGAACTATAGCTTTTGAACAAATAGACAACCCAATTCTGAACATTAGAGGTATAACTTTATTAAATCTGTAGTTTCTGACCCATTCACACAAGTTTAGTGACTAATTTGTTTTAAACCTCCTTTTCCAAAACAATAATATGGTAAATTTGGATTGGGTGGACATTAAACTATCTCTTGTCAAATACAGTGCAATTTTGGATTTAGGATTATGACAGGCCACCTGGGCTATGTCTGAGTTATGTTGGATCCCTGATGTAAAGTTTGACCCTATGTGTTGTGTTCAAAACCACCAGTTCTAAACAGGAATCTAAGGACCCCTAGGGCAATACATGGACTTTGTTGGTGCGGGAGAGGGGGCACATATACTCTGGAAATGTGTAATTTGAATGTATATATTTTGTTCTATTTTCCTAGGAGATGATTTATAGCTTTTATCAGGGTCTCAAATGGTTTATAACCAAAAAGGCTAGGACCCAGAACTTCATATATTTAAACAGGGAAGCTTCCACTCTAGTCCCCTTTATCACAGTGTGGTGTTCCGCACAAGATATAGAAAAGGAAAAAAAAAAAAATCTGCTTTGCTCTTCAACCCTCTTTTCTCTAGGCTATCAAGATGTTTATATGATATACTGGCAGCCCTGTGTCTCAGCTGAAATTCATTTACTATCAATTGAGCGTTAAAGGGACCAGCAAAGATTCTTTTCTTTTGCTGAAGCTTTCATACCATTCCAGGAAGAATGGGCAGTTTTGACTGGGCAGGAAAAACTGACAATGACCAAGGGAGAACCACTGTATTCAATTTACAGAATGGGTGCAGTTTGTAACTTGTAGGACAAAGTCAATTTGATATTGTCTCATCTGATCCCTGTCCCTGCATCTAATTAAGGTGGTGTCAGTTTGAGGAGATAATTGTCAAAGGCTGCAAATGCAGTAAAGGCTGCCTAACTTTAATCACATCCGGCATGGGAAATTGTGGCTTTTTGGAAATGACAGTGTAAAGAGTAATGACTTTTTGAAAAAAATTAACTTTAAATAGAAAGTTTCCTAAATTTTAAAATTTATTCAACATAAAAATGTTCATTCTGATTCTTTTTCAGGAATATAAGGGAATAAAATTCTTTTCTAGGTAACATTTAGCCTCATTGTGGAGAGAAACATAACTTTTGTTAAAATAATGTTTTAAAATAAAATGTGTTGAAAATTACTATTACCTTTAAAAGATATTAAAGTGGGACAATTACATAGCTAAATTTTCTCCTGGTGTGAGATATGTGATACATAATGATCTTTTATTATCAATGCTAATTCCAAAATACATGAGCACTTACAGTAGTTTTTATGTGATTTAAGGAGTGATAGTTACCTTTGTACATACTTAATAGATATGAAGTTAAAATATTATATTTTGTAAACTTTAATTATAATGGTTTTGCTTTCAGTGAAGGTAGTGTGCACTTGCACAAACAAAAGAAAAAGAAATTTTTTTAAATTGAGAAAAACGTTTTCTTTAATTTGAACTACTGGATAAAATCCAGAATAATCCTTTTCATGTTATAGATATGGAAATACCTATGAGCATTTAAAATTGACATTGTGGACATTCTTAAATTTGAGTGATCAGGAACTATCTAAAAATTATTTTAGGCCAGGAAATAGTTCCTCACACCTGTAATCTCAGCACTTTGGGAGGCAGAGGCAGGCAGATGGCTTAAGCTCAGGAGTTTGAGACCAGCCTGGGTGACATAATGAAATCCCATCTCTACTACAAAAAAAAAAGAAAAAAAAAAGTTTTTATTGGCTTTTGATTTTTTGATCAGTTGATTGACCCATATTGATGAGTCAAATAGCAACAGCAATGCCATCCCTCCTTTAGAGAAGATTCCAGTTACTTAAATTTAATAACGATACTACATTTGAAAGCTAAGGATTCCTGCTTTCAAATGCTGGTGAAACTAATCAAATGCAAGCATTCTTTGTTACATGCTAATAATTTTTCAAAATGTTTTAATCTTTAAAATGCTATCAAGTTTGCTCCCTGTAGCTATGTTTGCAGTGGCAGAAGTAAGAACAAATTAGTTTAGGTTATCTATTTGCAAATTGAAAATGAACATAATCGACTGCAAGACTCATAAAAATGGGATATTAATTCTTGAGGAATAAGAGTGAAGCTACTTTTCTAGGTGATATTTATCCCCAAATACAGAACAGTATGGGTTTTATAAAAATTATTATTACAAAACATTTTAAACATTAATTTTATTTAGTATTTTCATACTATTACTATTTCAAGATCTTTGGGTGGGATGTCTAAATAGAATTTCCACTGGAGCTTTGGAGTGTATCTCATAGGACATAAACTATTGCTTAGCTTACAAAGCTTAGAAAAAGACTCTGATCCTTGCATATTTTTAAAAACAATTAGTATTATTTATTTAATCCTAAGTATTTTTTAAAAACTGCTGTCATGCTACTTCACCTAGTTCTGGGTGCTGTTCTTTTGGGCAATGCTATCTTGGACCTATTCTTTGAAACAACTTATATAGTCTAGCAAGGCACATGTCAATCAGGCTTTAGGTTGGAGCTAGGCCTGGAAAATGTTTTTTCAAACAATTCTGTGTCTATCCTTTCATCCTGAGCTGTAACTATGGAGAGTGTCATGGAAACAAACATATTGGGTGGCTTGTTGGGACTTGTTAAGGGTCCTACAACTCTCATACTCTGTAAATGCATTGTGTGGAGAGGCTTAGGACAGCCTTCAGGTAGTAGCTAAAGATGCTAGAGCCTCTGAAGACCTCTTCACTGAGACTCCTAATGCTAGAGTCTGGCCTCTGCCATCACTGGGGGCACCTGGGGCCTGGCCTTGCTAGTGATAGCTGCATAGGGCTGTGAGACTCAGCTGATCATCACTGGGTGAGGAAGTGTCAGGGTCACTGCAGATCTGAGTCAGGGCTAAGCTCAGGATTTCTTTCTTTTCTTTGTAAAACCGTAGTTCTTGTCCTGCTTTCCTGGCTTCCTCCAACTGCCTGAGGGCCGTTCGTAGCTCTTGAGAGACAATCCCTGGCGCCTCCCGCTCCTTCATGATCCAGTCCAGGGCCATGTGGCTGCGCATCTTTTCATCTAGAGAATACTGAGAATAGTAGGAGATGACTTCCTAGGGGCCAAGAAACAAGGTTCAGGGTGTCAGTAAAGAGCAACACAGGCACCTGTCCACATGCTTCCCCCTGCTCCCCACATCCATTAGGGTTTTATCAACAACCCAGCCTCTCTCATGTTCAAAAACTGAAACCAAAACCCACTGGTTTACTTCTGTAAAGGGAATGAAGGGCTAAGTTGGCCTAGCAAACAAAGCACACCACTCCAGGTTGAGTCCAAATACACCACCAGGAATGACTCGATAATGTTCACAAAACACAGCTCTGCCATCTCTAGAAAAATAAGTCATTCACTGAAAATAGATTCCTGCAACAATTGGTATGAATACGGCCTCATTTATTCATTGAAACCTGCTGCTCAGCATTATTTCCTTTGGCAAGATAGAGAGAGGGAAGTAGCCCTACAGTGGGACTTGGGCAGAATGGGGTTTGGTCAAATCCACTGAAGAAAGCAGGAAGCTCTTAATTTAGGGCAAGACTTAGAAACCAGGAAAATCAACTGTGCTGTTAGCACAAGAAAGACGGTCCAAATCCTTGCAGTAACTACAGAAGGGAGTTTAGGAATGTATGATGGAAGGTAGACATCTCCATTATTGATATTATAATGATACCAGCATGGTACATTGTCTTTTACTTTCGCAAACAATTTAATAATTAGTTACTGCCTGTCAATTCTTGTGTGAAAAATTCATCAGTACATAATAACGTCATATGTAGAATTGATCATGTGGAGTGAAGGCATTGCTTATTTTTATTTTCAAAAGCATATGGTATGCATTTATGACTTTAAAAATTAAAAACAATCATGGAAAAGTGTTTATAACCCAACTAGCATATTTCAAAGGCCTTTTGTAAAATCAAAGAAAATGGAAAAAACAAAAAAAAACCAAAGCCATTGTCAGCTACTCATTTATTTTCCATCTTTGACAAGTGAAACCTAGACTTTCTAAGCAAAGAACAACTAAAAACTGGGGGCTGCAATGCATGGAAGGCTCCTTACATCCACCTTCACCTCGCTAACTCCTAGAGGTTTTCTTCCTCATACAAATCCTATTAGGAAATTTTCAGAAATAAACAACATTCTAATGGTGGGTAGAGGAAGGATAAATCTTGGAGAACAACAGGTGAAAACCATTAAATACCCAGGAGGGGGTTTACATTAGCTATTAAAAAAGGAGGAAGGGGTACTCCTCATAAATAACAAAGAAACCAGGAGACCCTGTCTCTGAAAAATAAAGGAGAAACTTCTAAACCAAAAAAATGGGAGTGATTAAATGCCGGCTTGACAACCTTTATAATCATTTCTGTTGTTTACAGGGGACTTTGGCAGGAGTGGGAAATACTCTTCTCCCACCACCAACCTCCAGTGAGGAGGTTTCAGAAGCAGTGCATTTTCTTTTTTTTTTCTTTTTTTTTTTTTAATTTTTTATTGGATTATAGGTTTTGCGGTACATGAGCAGAGCATGCAAGACAGTTGCGTAGGTACACACATGGCAGTGTGCTTTTCTTTTCTTCTCCCCTTCACCCACATTTGGCATTTCTCCCCAGGCTATCCCTCCCCACCTCCCCCTCCCACTGGCCCTCCCCTTTTCCCCCTAATAGACCCCAGTGTTTAGTACTCCCCTTTCTGTGTCCATGTGTTCTCATTTTTCATCACCCACCTATGAGTGAGAATATGCGGTGTTTCATTTTCTGTTCTTGTGTCAGTTTGCTGAGGATGATGTTTTCCAGATTCATCCATGTCCCTACAAACGACACGAACTCATCATTTCTGATTGCTGCATAATATTCCATGGTGTATATGTGCCACATTTTTCCAATCCAGTCTATTATCAATGGGCATTTGGGTTGATTCCAGGTCTTTGCTATTGTAAACAGTGCTGCAATGAACATTCGTGTACATGTGTCCTTATAGTAGAATGATTTATAGTCTTTTGGATATATACCCAGTAATGGGATTGCTGGGTCAAATGGAATTTCTATTTCTAAGGCCTTGAGGAATCGCCACACTGTCTTCCACAATGGTTGAACTAATTTACACTCCCACCAACAGTGTCCACCAGGTTTGCTTGCTCCAGGTCTGAGTTCAAGCCCTGGGTATCCTTGTTGATTTTCTGTCTGGTTGATCTGTCTAGTATTGACAGTGGAGTGTTAAAGTCTCCCACTATTATTGTGTGGGAGTCTAAGTCCTTCTGTAAGTCATTAAGAACTTGCCTTATGTATCTGGGTGCTCCTGTGTTGGGTCCATATATGTTTAGGATCGTTAGCTCTTCTTGTTGTATCGATCCTTTTACCATTATGTAATGGCCTTCTTTGTCTCTTTTGATCTTTGTTGCTTTAAAGTCTATTTTATCAGAGATGAGAATTGCAACTCCTGCTTTTATTTTTGCTTTCCATTAGCTTGGTAAATCTTCCTCCATCCCTTTATTTTGAGCCTTTGTGTATCCTTGCATGTGAGATGGGTTTCCTGGATACAGCACACTGATGGGTTTTGGATTTTTATCCAATTTGCCAGTCTGTGTCTTTTGATTGGTGCATTTAGTCCATTTACATTTAGGGTTAATATTGTTATGTGTGAATTTGATACTGCCATTTTGATTCTAAGTGGCTGTTTTGCCTGTTGGTTGTTGTAGATTCTTCATTATGTTGAAGCTCTTTAGCATTCAGTGTGATTTTGGAATGGCTGGTACTGATTGATCCTTTCTATGTGTAGTGCCTCTTTTAGGAGCTCTTGTAAAGCAGGCCTGGTGGTGACAAAATCTCTGAGTACTTGCTTGTTCGCAAAGGATTTTATTCTTCCTTCACTTCTGAAGCTCAGTTTGGCTGGATATGAAATTCTGGGTTGAAAGTTCTTTTCTTTAAGAATGTTGAATATTGGCCCCCACTCTCTTCTGGCTTCTAGTGTTTCTGCCGAGAGATCTGCTGTGAGTCTGATGGGCTTCCCTTTGTGGGTGACCCGACCTTTCTCTCTGGCTGCCCTTAGTATTCTCTCCTTTATTTCAACCCTGTTGAATCTGACGATTATGTGCCTTGGGGTTGCTCTTCTTGCGGAATATCTTTGTGGTGTTCTCTGTATTTCCTGCAATTGAGTGTTGGCTTGTCTTGCTAGGTGGGGGAAATTTTCCTGGATGATGTCCTGAAGAGTATTTTCCAGCTGGGATTCATTCTCTTCGTCCCCTTCTGGTACACCTATCAAACGTAGGTTAGGTCTTTTCACATAGTCCCACATTTCTTGGAGACTTTGTTCATTCCTTTTTGCGCTTTTTTCTCTGATCTTGGTTTCTCGTTTTATTTCATTGAGTTGGTCTTCGACTTCGGATATTCTTTCTTCTGCTTGGTCAATTCGGCTATTGAAACTTGCGTTTGCTTCGCGAAGTTCTCGTATTGTGTTTTTCAGCTCCTTTAATTCATTCATATTCCTCTCTAAGGTATCCATTCTTGTTATCATTTCCTCGAATCTTTTTTCAAATCTTTTTTCAAGGTTCTTAGTTTCTTTGCATTGATTTAATACATGATCTTTTAGCTCACAAAAGTTTCTCATTATCCATCTTCTGAAGTCTAATTCCGTCATTTCGTCATAGTCATTCGCCGTCCAGCTTTGTTCCCTTGCTGGTGAGGAGTTTTGGTCCTTTCTAGGAGGCGATGTGTTCTGGTTTCGGGTGTTTTCCTCCTTTTTGCGCTGGTTTCTTCCCATCTTTGTGGATTTGTCCGCTGGTCGTCTGCGTAGTTGCTGACTTTTCGTTTGGGTCTCTGAGTGGACACCCAGAATGTTGATGATGAAGTATTTCTGTTGCTTGGTTTTCCTTCTACCAGTCTAGCCCCTTCGCTGTACGACTGTTGAGGTCCGCTCCAGACCCTGCTTGTCTGGGGTGCACCTCTAGTAGCCGTGGCACAGCGAGGGATGCTACCAGTTTCTTTTTCTGCTCTCTTTGTCCCAGGATGATGCCTGCCTAATGACAGTCTTTTGGATATAGAGGGGTCAGGGAGCTGCTTGAGGGGACAGTTTGTACTTTATAGGGGTTTAATTGCTGAGCTGTGCACTCTGTTGTTCATTCAGGGCTGTTAGGCTGCTATGTTTGATTCTGCTGCAACACAGCTCATTAAACAACCCTTTTTTTTTTCTCAAATGCTCTGTGTTGAGGGGTTTGGGCTTTATTTTTGGATGTCCGATCAGGTGTCCTGCCCAGCTCAAAGGCAGACTAGCCACTGTTTGGCTGCCGAGGCTCTGCCCTGCTGTTGTGTGATTCGCGCTGTTCCTGCCGGCTCTGCTGTGGTTTCCGCCACACCCTGCGGCGGAGTCTCTTCGTTGTAGCGTGTTGCCTCAGCAACGGCAGGCTGCGTCAGCAGTGGGCGTGTATCTCAGTAGGGGCGGGTTGCCTCGGCAACGGCTGGCTGCGTCAGCAGTGGGCGTGTATCTCAGTTGGGGCGGGTTGCCTCGGCAACGGCTGGCTGCCTCAGCAGTGGGCGTGTATATCAATTGGGGCAGGTTGCCTCCGTAGTGGTGGACGCCCCTCCCCCACAGAGCGTCTCGGACCGTCTGCCCGGGATAGTTTGAAATCGCGTTTTGTTCGTCCCACTGGGTATCCCAACCGATCTGTCCCTGCAATCCCCTGGGCTGGGCTACTGTGCAAGTCTCATTCAGTCTCAAGTCCAGCCCTCTCAAGTCTCAGATTGCCGGTTCAACAAGGCACCCGGACAAGCGCGCCCTGTGGGGATTGCTGGGTAGGGCCGGCCGCCGCCGCCCCGGCTGCCGGCTTCGCCAGGCAGACCTACTGCCTGGCGTCCCGTGTCTTTTTATACTTGGGAGTTTCCCCGTTCTGTGGGCAACAAAGATCAGTCTGGAAATGCAGCACTGACTCACCGTTTGCGAATTCAACGCGGGCTCCAATCCTGGGTTGTTCTCACAGCGCCATCTTGAGTCCCCTCCTCCTTAGATATCAGAAGCAGTGCATTTTCAAGTTTCTGCATCAGAAGGTGCATGAGGGCACACGTTCCAAGGAGGCAGGGGAGGTGTATGGAGTAGGTCCAGCATTTGCTTTAGAAGCCATCTGCCTTTATGATCCTTTTGATTTGCATTGAGTACAGCTACCTAAATCAGTCCTGTGCCCAGCCAATGTTCTTTTAATGTATATATTTGGTCAGTCCCTGACTCAATAAGACTGTTATATATACTTCTTCATGTGTTCTCTGCTTTTAATAAATAAGAGACCAAATTTATATTTGGAAAAATCAGAATAAAGAAAATGTCTTAGGAAAATGATGAGCCACCTACTGAGTTCATATAACACTAACCTAGACTTGACTGGAAAATCTTACCTGTCGGGAACACTTTGTTTCACGAAGGGCTTTTAGGCTTCCGTTCCAGTGCAATAGTTGAAAAATGGTCATCAGCTCCTACAAAACCCAAACACCTATCATTGGTTCCAAAGCAGAAATGTGCGTTGGTGAGAGCTGAGCAGGGCATAACTCTAATTCCCAAATAGATCAGGAAACAGAATACACAATATTGTCACAACACTTTGGAAATTTCCCAATCCCAGGGTCCCTAGGCTTCTGGAACATTTTTCCCTCCCTCCTTTGCTATATCCATAGCATTAGATTACATTACTTGTGTAATGAAATGACTAAATACTTGACAAACGTCTTTCAGCATTAAAAATACTACACGGAACAGTTCTATACTCAAGAAGTTATTTAAATATACCAGGACATGAGAAATCGTGTATAGGCAAGGTTTTACAACGTATCGTTTTTTAAAATTGCTCGAGACAGAATATCTTAAAAGATCACCTTTAGAGGAATGGCTCAAGTGTGATAGTCCATACTACTGAACACTTAGCCATCATAAAGATGAGAACATTCCATAAGTTTAAATAGAATTCTGTGATGTGTTAAAAGCAAGGTACACAGCCCCGTGTGCTGTCTGCTCCTATTTGATTAAGAAGATCCCTAAATACATGCTTGCTTGTAAATGCCTAGAAGGGTTCCAGTATGATACAAAAGGATCTTGTAACATTAGCTGTCTCTGAAACACCAGAGGAGTTCCTGGGGGACAGGAGTAGGAGGGAGACCTTGTAACATTATTTTGTAAAACTTACAGTTTTGAATCATGTGACTATGTTATATCTTAAGGAAAACAATTTAACTTTAAAAAATTTAAGCCAAAAAATAAACATACAAATATAGTTAAATAACATTGATAAGAGGCCATTAGTTTGGCCAGAGGTACCCCTTTAGGCCTAATAGGCCAAATCAAAATAGAATCGCTCATGCTGAAATGAAGCTGTTTATCTGAGCTTCCTAGAATTCAGGACAAAAAGACAGATAATTGCCAAATCCCCAAGCAAGCTATTTTTAGCCAGCATAATAAATAGGTCCCCTCTGCTTTAATCTTTATAAGAGAAGTAACTATGAAATGACCAATCCACTTTTTGTCCTCTGTTTCTACATTTTTCAGCCCTTTTCTGCCTAAAGCCAACTTCCTCTGCTCAGCCCATCAGAACACTCATTCTATTTTACAGAAGGAGGTGTTACCCATTCTAAAATTGCAAGTAAAAGTCAGCTAGATCATTAAATTTATTAAAATTTTGTCTTTGGGCAATAGAAAACATATAATGAATAAACTACAGAAACTATTTAATACTCCTGAATTTATAAATTCTGTCAAGAAAAATGCCTTGAAATATAGACAATAAAGTTATATTGACATTAAAACTCACCCACAGGTTCCAAATCCAAGGCCAGGCCTGACCACAGCATTCAGACTATCAGCATCATCATTTCCTTGCCTTTTGTGATATCAAGGGCAAGCTAAGGTATATAAGTATACTGAAGATTTTCATTTTCCTAATGTGCTTACAATTAGAAGTTTTCCACTGAAGTTATTTGCATTTCATTTACATTTTTTTGTCAGATATCTATTATAGATTAAGCATAACCACACCACATAATTATTGAAAAATTACTCTATACAATCAAGGAACTTTCATGTCTTAAAAATAGTTATGAAAACTTAACACAGTCAGGTGTTCCTACTGCCCATTCAAAAATGCTCTTAGCTGGGCACGGTGTTGTGTGCCTATAGTCCTAGCAACTTGGGAGGCTGAGGCAGGAGAATTGATTGAGCCCAAAAGTTTTGAGATCAGCCTGGGAAACATAATATTTTATCTCTTAAAACAAAACAAAAAAAAGCTGACTTTAATTAACTGTCTTTACAACTGCCTGCTCAGGAAATATTTCTCTTATGAAAATTGGGAGACTCATAGTGAGGTTTTAGGCATCTTGAAATTATTTGGTAAAGTTTGAAGCTATCAGAGTATTAGAAGAGCAAATAGCACCTCTCTCATGTCTAAAACTGGTGTTAGAATAAAAAGTTTTTCTTCTTTTCTGTCAGAGATCCAGCTTGGCATTTTGTCTAAGTTCACTGCACAGTAAGCACTCTGAGAGCCCACAGGCACCTCAGTAAAAGCAAAACCACTGTGTCTGCTAATTAAAACACACATGAATTCCAGCTGGGCTGCTCCTTCTGCCCCAAATGGAGACCTCCCTGTCTGCCCAGGGTCCTGGGTCCAGTGCCCAGGGATGCCATCCCCTCATGGCCCCTCTCCTCCACATCTTCGTGCCCTTGTTCAGATTTTCACTTCATTACATCACTATGCTAATTTGAAAAAGTGGGAGTGCTTTGTTCTAGAAACCAAATCTCATCCAATCTGGCTATCACTGCTGTTCTTCTCAGGCTTTCCATCAAAATACCCCTAGTGGCTGAGGATGGCAAATTTGCGCTGTCCTTCCTACCGTACTAACAAACCTACTCACTGAATACTTTGAACCCATCAAAATGAATAGGAAGGAAGGTTTGTTTGTTTGTTTTTTAATATTTGGGAACCAGTCTCTATGATATAACAGGAGGCCCAATATTTGTAAATAAGAAAAATTTTTTGGTTTTATGTTTTATAAGAATCCAGTCAAATTGTGTATTCCATTAACAAATACTGGCCTGGTGCAGTGGCTTACACCAGAATCCCAGCACTTGGGAGGCTGAGGCAGGTGGATCACTTGAGGTCAGGAGTTGGAGACCAGCCTGGGCAACATGGTGAAAACCCATTTCTACTAAAAATAAAAAATTAGCAGGGTATGGTAGTGGTGCCTGTCATCCCAGCTACTTGGGAGGCTGAGGCAGGAGAATTGCTTGAACCTGGGAGGCAGAGGTTGCACTGAGCTGTGATCATGCCACTGCACTCCCACCTGGGCAACAGAGACTCTGTCTCAAAAAAGAAAATAAATATCACTCCAGTCCTCCATCTGACCCCCACAACCCTAAATCTTTATGTAAAGTTGAGAACCCAGACACATATACTGGATTTATTTTGTGGCTTCCAATAGCTATCTATCTTTGCATTGTCCTTGCGTCCTGTGGCCCAGTTTGAGAAAGAGCCTATTGCTAACAGGGCTCTTAGTTTCATCCTCTGAGAATTGTTGACTCAGAAACATACTCTTCTTCCTCTGGGGTCTTCTGGGCTCTCTTTTTTACCTATACACTAACTGCTGTCTCCACTCCATAAGCAACTATCATTCCATCCTGAAAATCTCCTAAGACTTTAGAATTCACAACTCTACTGTGAACAGAACCAAAACTTTCTCATGCCCCTTGACAACCTTCCTCTTTTAAAAATGTCCCCAAAGAGACTTGAACTGTTTTTGTGTCCAGGATGAAGGTCATCCCTCTCACCACCTCTGGTTTGTCTAAATTTCTATCCCAACACAAAGCAGCGTTTTTTTCTCTCTGGTAACACAACTGCCACTTCCTCAGTGTTGCTCTTAAAATTCCCTAGGGAAGATGACCTCCTTTCCAACTTCTTACATTATATCCCCTCTAGTTTTTGTCCTCTGTAGAGATATTCATCTTGCCATCATTATATAAAGTATATTTAAATATTATCACATATTTTTTGTCTCACTTCTTTATTTCTCCTCATAAGACCAAATTCACTATCTTCAAATTTTTCCAAACTATTTGAAAAACTATCTCAGCTCAACCCCAGGAAATCTTTGCATGCCTCTGACGGTTTCCGTTGGAAATCCTTGCATGATTGCAGAGTGGCAAGGAGAGGGCTGCTGTGGAGTTCTCCTTGCTGGTTTCCCAGTAATTCCTGATGCCTCATGTTTGCTGGCTCACTTTCTACCTGGAGAAGCTCTGTTTCTCTAAAGGAATTAATATAGCCAGGAGCTGTGGAATGTGCCTGTAGTCCCAGCTATTAGGGAGGCTGAGGCAGGAATATTGTGATTTTGAGCCCAGCCTGAGCAAAATAGCAAGACTCTGTCTCAGAAAAAAAAAGAAAAAAGGAAATTAGTGTTGTCTTGTGAGGGTCTGTTGTACTCCTCACTGAAGTCTTTTGGGCTATGGTGTTTTGTTTGTGGGGTAATCTGGAAGCCTGAGGGGCCTGGCTGGACCAACTAGAAAAACAAGAAGTTGGCCTCATAAGGTGAGGCAGGTGAGGTAAGATTTAAAGTGAGTGGGGCCAATTATACATGTTCACAATCTTTTATTTATAATTCTCATATTTTGTTTATCATGAATTTTTTGCATGAATTTTGAGTTTAAAAAATATTGCATTATAATATTATTTATCCTGATTATGAAGTTTTTAAGCATCCCTTTTAATTTTGTACCCAAGACAAATGCCTCACTTGCCTAACCCCATCTGGTCCCTTCTTGTGGCTCTGTCTCAGGGACAAGCCCGGCTTCACAGGCATGAGGTCTGTGCAGTTGTACAGGGCCCCTACTTGGTTTAGTGCTCTGCTGTCTTGAAATTCTTGGTAATTTTTGAACAAGAGCCCCTGGATTTTCATTTTGCACTGGGCTGGGCCAATTATCTAGCTGGTCCTGGCTAGCAGATTATATTTAATATAGAATGAAGAATCATGCTGTATGTTTTCTTTCCTCTTTGGGAAAATTTCAGTTGCACCTCTCACTACAGTTTTCCTGGTTTATTTTGTCATTCATTTCATTTAAACAGACAACAACGGGGCTCTGTCCTCACAGCCTTTCCTGGTGTTGCCTCCTGTTAGAAACAATGTTTGGCTTTTCAGCTACTTCTAGGGAGAAAATGCTCACTGCTTCTTTTTGGAACTCTGTCTAGGAGACTGGCTTGGCTCTGTGATTCATCAGAAATAAGAAAAACAAACACTGTAAATGGAGAACTTGAAAAACAGGTGGGCACCATCTCCCCAAACAACAGAATGGATTTAAGAGGAAATTTGTTTATGGGATGAGGTTTTAAAAGGCAACCTGGAGAATTTAGCAAAGATGTAAATAAACAACTCTTCCTTGGATTGCATTAGGCTTCAGAATAAATATATTAACCAGCTTCAGTCAAAGTCTGCCTAGAATCTGACCTTGACAAGACCCAGTGACTAGTGCTGCTCCCAACCCTCCCGCAAACAGCAGGCAGTTTTCTCTATGGCAAAGCTACCTCGAAACAGGCATTCCGGCTTCCCTCCCACGAAGTGAAGGTAAGCAGAGTCCTATCAGGTTTCCTCTGAGTGCTGGCTGCAGGATGCCCCCCCTTGAAAGCCTGAGGGCAGTCTGGAGACACCAGCCTTGTTTTTATATGGTAGAGTCATCCATAGCTAGATACAAACACACATCTATTACCCACCAGGGGTACTGAATTGCTGTGTTGGCTGCAGAAACAGCCCAGGTCTGCGGTCAATTCCCATTATGTGTAGACACAAGCAGATGTATTTAACCCAGGCCACTAAGGAATGTGCCAGGTCCCAGCAGGCAAACTTGGGCTGGTGGAAGGAAAAGGGATGCACTCCACAGGCCCTCCTCCTGAGGAAGGGAGTTTGGATTTTCCTGCCCTCACATCTTCCTTTTCCTTTGTTCCCATCCTGTATCCAGACTCCTTTAGGAGAATTTATGAAGCATGTCCACAGTCGGATTCAAATTATTATTTCACAAATTTAAACACCTTACTACAGACCACACAGAAAACACATAGCCTATAGCAAAGCAATTAAAGTATTACTAAAAGAGGGTTGAGTAGAGCCTTTCATAGTACTTGGAAGGAATTTTAAGAATTTTTCTTTTTTTGAATCTCACCTTCCCCCATCTTTGGCAGACTAAACCAATCACATTGAAAATCATTCTTAATTTTTCCAAAAACAGCACAAAATCACATACAAGCTACTATGTACTGGGGTAGGCAGTGTTCATTCCATAATAAAAGAAGTAAAATATTTGGAGGAGGAAGAGGAATTCAATGAAATTCCTGCTTGGGGGAAGCATTATGCCAGATGTTTTATAAATGTCACGCTACTTAAGTCCCACAGAAAAAGTCCTACAAAATGGGCATGATTATTTCTATTTTACAGATGAGAAAACTGAGTCTCAGAATGGACAAGTTCATAGATGGCAAGTGGTAGAGCAGACTTCACACATATGTCTGTATGTATGTTTTTTTAATGTTTGTATGTTTTCTCTTGAAAGGACACCTCTTTTTTAAAAAAAGATTTCCCTCTGTTTAATTTTAGATTGTTATGAAAAAAAGGACCTTTTACAGATTGACTCTTTTATCCTAGAATAGGGTCCCTGAACCATTTTGTGCAGGCTCAAATAGAGCTAGGTTAGACAAAGTTGTCAACAAAATCTATCCAGTAGCTGCTGGCATTTCAAGCAAAGAGTCCTTCAGAAATACATATAATAACGGTTGTTCACTGCACTGAGCATTCACCATACCTCAGGCACTCTTTTGGATGCTACCCATATCATCCATTTAATCCTCACAGTAGCACTGTGAGGAAGGTAGTATTATTCTCTCTGATTTACACACAAATGAGGAAATAGATTTTGAGGTAAGGAGCAGAGCTAGGCTTAAACTGGCCAGACCACTGTAGAGCCTGGGTCAGAGCCACTGAGCTGACATGCACTCCGTTCACTTCAGAGGATAGGCTTAAAGGATACCTTGTTGCTTCCTAACCAAGACAGGCGATGTCGCAGGTCAGTAAGACCATGGCCACTTAAGGATAAAACTGGATGACCAAGATTTAGGATGGGTGAAGAAAAAGCATTTTTGCTGCACTCATACAGAAGGCTAATAGATAATATTTATTTTTTTAAAATGTGCAGGGGGGCCATATCCATCTGAGAAGTGGTTATACCACTGTGGTCAGGAAAGGAGTTTGAAAGGCACCAAAGAAGGTATTTAAAAGTTGTGGCTTCAGAAGGGCTCAGCTCACCATTGTAAATTGTACCGTGAGGAACGTTTTTGCCCATGAAACCTTATACCTCTGAGTACTTCTTGGAATATAACCTAAGAAAACAGAATTTCTAGGGGTGAAGTCTGTTTGTTATATTGCATTTTGATTCCTACCAGCATTGCATATGTATAGATGTTCAGTTGAACTGCACTGGAATTAAGTTTTTTAGAGGGAAGCACATTTCATGCTCAATCACTACTAAATTTCTAACTGTCCAGATCAATATAGGATAATAGTCATATGTGTGAGTTCAGAGATCAGACTACCTGATCCTGAACCTTAGCTCTGCCATCCTTCAATGATAACATGAGGGTAACGATAGTATCTACCTCATACAGTTATTATGAGTGTTAAACTAGGATACTATTTGTTAAATACTAAGCATGGGCCAAACTAAGCATCCATCAGTGTCAGCTGTTATTACTATTGTTATTAACAGTATATTTTAGAAATAATAGGTAATATTGTTCCTAAGCTCTTGTTATTTGTCAGCAGTGGATGAAAAGGGGTTACATATTGTTAATTTTTTTTGATTTGGTTGATGATAGGAGGTGGCAGAACTTGTTTAATAGAAAACCAGACTCAAGGAGGGTGTTGTTCAATATGCACTGCAGAAACTTTCAGAAGTCATAGAACTTCTGATAATTAAGAAGCAGATGGTAACAACCAACATTTCAAACTGTTTGAATTGGTTTAAGGGGGAAGTTTGTACTGAAGGGCTGGTGAAATGTTATAGAATCGTAAGAATGTGGTGTACCTCACCTATTTCTTGGATTTCTCTTTTACTTTTCTTTATAAATGCAAAGATTGTTTCCTGATTGCTTCTTTCTTTTTTTTTTTTGAGACGGAGTTTCGCTCTTGTTACCCAGGCTGGAGTGCAATGGCGCGATCTCGGCTCACCGCAATCTCCGCCTCCTGGGTTCAGGCAATTCTCCTGCCTCAGCCTCCCCGAGCAGCTGGGATTACAGGCACGCGCCACCGTGCCCAGCTAATTTTTTGTAATTTTAGTAGAGACGGGGTTTCACCATGTTGACCAGGATGGTCTCCATCTGTTGACCTTGTGATCCACCCGCCTCGGCCTCCCAAAGTGCTGGGATTACAGGCTTGAGCCACCGCGCCCGGCCGATTGCTTATTTCTTTAGGCCTATGAAATGTGGCTACCATGCTGGATTCCAAGAGGGTTAATTTAAAATGACCAAAAACACTTCATACCAAAAGATTATTGGGTCAGGAGATGTTAGTGATAGGAGCTGCATTTCTCTTAGGCTTCTGGATTGGATAATCAAATAAACATGTGGCATACAGGCGAGATACCTGAAACTCCAGCATGGTCTTCCCCATATTTGACTCCAGCATGTAGTGATAGGCTCCAACACTGGTGCTGGGGTCATCTGCATCATCTAAAGTGCCCTTGGGAAAGAATGCAGAGAAAAGAAATTACTGATTTTTCCTCCTCTTCTTTGAGAATGGTCACAAATTAATTCTGTGACCACATAGCAAGCCTTCTATTGTTGTTATAACCCAAACAGATGTTCATTCTACAACCAAGTCTCCAGTTGATTTGAAGGTTTTGTAATCAATTTGAATTGAGCTTTTGATTAGAATGCTGTTATATACTCGCTGATAGAATAATTTTCCAAAAGAAGACATTTCTGTATGATTGCACAGGGTTTGTTGGTGGTAGTGTTAATATTTGCATGGGTGAGCTCTGAGGCTGCCTTCATTGGTTATTGAAATCTTGAAACACGACTTTGCTCTGATTCCAATGATAACCAGGCAAGATTATATAACTGACATGGAAAGAATTCGTCAGTTGTGTGGACCATTCGTATTTTACTGCTGTGATTCTTAATAGGACCTTTTCGTAATATGCTGGTGTTTAGCCTGGAGACATGGATCATGGTTTATATTTTTTCACTCCTGTATCACTTAATCTTTAGGAAACAAGGTGGGTGGGTGATGGGTAGAAATGAAATTCCCTTTCAGTTTGGGTGTGGGGAGTGGTGCTGAGAAGCTAAGACAACTCTGGTATGGCCTTTGGGCCAGCCCTTCCGTATGCTATGGATGTGGATTCCTGGGAAGGTGGGCAATGGTGACTTTGAGACTGAAAAAACAAGTGCCAGCATCAGATAGCAGCAAATTTATAGCTTTTGAATGTAGTAACATTAACACACTGCTGCTGAAATATTTATGTGGGCTTTTTAAATATCCCAGAGGAAATCCATCTAGAAGCATGCAAACCATATATATTCTGTTTCCTTAGAAATTTCCATTAAAAAAATGATAGATTACTTTTACACTGACGGCCCTTCCCTGCTCCTGAATAAATTTCACACTTATATAAATCAGGCATCATTTTCCAAACCTCTCTTCCTCACAAGCTCTTGAAATTTACAAGACCGGCAAATAAAGGCTTCCTTTCATCCTCAGACCAGATACAGAACAGAACTCCCTGCCATCTCCCAGACAAGTCAATCACTCTTCTTCCCCAGCTCCTTCCTTATCTCTCCTTTAGCGATAAGAAGATTTATGAGGGGAAAAGGGCCACATCTAGTCTGATAGTGTTTCCTTCATCATCAGCAGCTGCACCAGAATGACAGTGCCTTTCTAGTTAGGGCAAACAGAGAAGGAAATCTCAGGTGGGGTTTATCTGTGCTAAAGGCAAGCCAGAGGTAGCTAATCTCTTTGGTAATGCCAGGTTCCTGCCCTTGAGCACACAGGGAGATACTTGCCACAGGTGGGGACCCAAGGCTTCTTCCTTGTCTTATAGTCTGGAAGAAATGGGAGTTGGGAGCTCCAGATCATTCATGGAACAAGTATCCTGTTCTGTATTGCTTAAAAAAGAAAAAAAAGTACTATCTAATTTTTAAGACAGGTTGTTTTTCTCTTAAAGCCTTTTGCATTTAATTGTGTTCATTACAGAAATTTTCAAAGCTCTCCGAAGAGGTAATTGATATTAACCATAGTAACTCTAACAGCTAACACATATTGAGCATATGGTTTTTTTCCACATCGAAACAGTCCATATTTCCTTAAAAATGCAGATTGTAGGGCCCCACAATGGCTGGGGAACTGGCACTTTCAGTAAATACTTCAGATGATTTCCATGATCTGGGGAAAACGGAGCTAGTTGTTCACTAGATTAAAGCAGTTTTCCACTCTATGTGTTCTCAGACCCTAAAAGAGTCAACACTCCTCAAAAAGCAAACATTCACTTAACATATCGAGGTGGATCCAATGATCTACCTTGATTTGAAGGTTGATTAATTGTGATCCAGAGAGATTAAAAAAATTATTGAGATGTGTGAATTTTATGATTTCCAATGTAAGTATTCTTTTTTCCTGAAAATTAACAATTTAATGGGTAAAAATTGAATCTACAGAATTCTTTAAATAGGAATTTGCTGGCCAGGTGCGGTGGCTCATACCTGTAATCCCATTACTTTGGGAGGCTGAGGTGGGCAGATCATGAGGTCAAGAGATTGAGATCATCATGGTCAACATGGTGAAACCCTGTCTCTACTAAAAAATACAAAAATTAGCTGGGCACGGTGGCACATTAGCTGGGCGTGGTGGCGCATGCTGTAGTCCCAGCTACTTGGGAAGCTGAGGCAGGAGAATTGCTTGAACCCGGGAGACAGAGGATGCAGTGAGCTGAGATAATACCACTGCACTCCAGCCTGTTGACAGAGTGAGACTCTGTCTCAAAAAAAGAAAAGAATTTGCTCATGTTAGCATCTCTCCTGATTCAAATGCTTTAGAATTCTCAATGCAGCCATCTCCTCCTCCCCTTCCTGGTGGGTACTCACGCTGGTGGAGGCTACTGCTTCCTGAACACTTTCCATAATGAATTCCTTGGTGATCCTGCGAGAGGGCAGCTCATTGAAGAGGGAGTTGATCAGGGCCACTTTAGCTGCATCCCGCCTGGCCTCAGCTCTACTTAAGCAGCACTTGAGAAGGGAAGGAAAAAAAGAGTCATTCAAGGATTTAGTATTTCACCATTTCACTCCTATATCAATGGGTCTCTGGACATTTCTATTTATGCATTTACTGTCCACATCTATTCTTTTTATATACATTGCTAATTTCCCTGAAGATCAGGCAGATTTTCTTTCAGCTCTAGAGTCCATGCAAATATCTTGGTTGATCTTCAATTACTTTTTGTCTTATTTTATAGTCGTTGAATGTCTACTATATGTCAGAAGCTTTGCATACTCTGTTAATGAGTAATGATAAATAAATAATGGCTATTATTGTGTGCTAGATAATTTATATTCATTATCAGGGACTTCCTCAAATCCCTATTTCAGAGAAAAAAATATGAAGAAAGGAGAAAAGCAAGGAAATTGGAAATACTTATAACACAATAATTAAGAACACAAATTCTAGAGTCAGGCTGCTTGGGTTCAAGTTTCAGCTCTGGCATTTACTAACTACTGCAAGACCTTGAGTAGGTCAGTTGGTCTCTCTGCACTTCAATTTCCTCCTCTATAAAATGGGAATAATTGTAAGGTTGAGGTTAGGATCAATTGTTTAATTGAAATAAAGCACTGACAATAATTGGCGCATAGTAGCACTTACGAGAACAGGCCAGCCAGACCTTTTTATCTTCAGGTTAGTACTAGAGTGCTGCTGTCAATATCTTTTGCTTTTGAATTTCCAATGTTTACCCTCCACCTTCCTTCTAGTAACAGATCCCTGATTTTCTTGAGGACTAGGCTTTCCCCCTTGTTCTCAGTCCATGTGGTTTTGGTGGGACATACTCCATTCAAACCTTCTTGAAGTTAGGGGCATAGGCAGCCTATGATTAGTGACTCATAAAAAAAATTCACTCCCCTCAAACATAATATTGCTCTCCATCCTCCTAGACTGGCTTCTGTGGCTCATATGGATCTGGTCAATGCATTGTGATTCTTTTCTGTCCTCTGTGTCTCTGAACAACTAACAGCTCCCATTATTCAAGTTCTGGTTTGGCATGGATCCTGGGAGTGCAGATACAAGGACATGCCCCATGAGTACTGGACTGTCCCTGGAGCCCACACCTTTTGGAGAGCTCAGAAGTTGATGGCCTCTCTCCTACAGGTTCCTGTAGACTCAGGAATAAGTGTCTAGAATCCCAGACTCCTAGGGGGGAAACAAGTCCCAGGAAGAGAAGTCCAGGCCCAGGTCCTGGTCAGTGGGGTGACCAGGCACCCCGGCTCTGCTCCTTAGAAACCTGTACCATTTGAACTTTGGGAGCTAATCTTCTCATTGGACAAATAAGGAAGCAAGACTCTCTGATCTCCAAGGCTCCTACTACCCAAAATGCATGATTCTCAGAATCAGTAGTTGTTGATGACTGATGGGAAAGAAAAGGAAATATACCAAAGATCACGTTTCATTTTAGCTTCACAGAGCAAGGGCTCTGTATCACCAACAGACGAAGGCCAAATCCCTCTCATTTGCTTTCACAACATCCCCGCCTCCATCCTGTCTGCCCTATGTTGACCATCTCTGCACTATCCCGGGAACACTCCAGACTTATGCTCTCATGTCCTCTAGAGACCTATCTCTCCTCCCCATCTCCACAAACCTAGTTGGAGTGCCCTGAAGCCAGGTTCCAGGTTCTCTGTGATTGTTCCTCAACCTTCTAGAACAGTAGTGCCTATATAATGATCCTGTCCTTGACTATGGGTAACTTCTTGCCCACCCCCTCTCCCAGCCTCCAGGCCTAGGAGGAGCCCTCATACACTTTTGTTTTTAAAGACTGATTCTCTTTCTGTTGCCCAGGCTGTGTGCAGTGGTGCAATCTTAGCTCACTTGCAGCCTCCGCCTCCTGGGCTCAAGCAATTCTCCCCCATAGTAGTTGGGTCTACAGGTACTTGGGACCATGCCTGGCTAATTTTTGCATTTTTTATAGAGATAGAGTCTCACTATATTGCCCAGGCTGGTCTCAAATTCCTAGGCTCAAGCGATCCAGCTGCCTTGACCTCCCAAAGTCCTGGGATTACAGGGGTGAGCCACTGCCCCCCCATATATTTCCTTTTTTATTTTAATAGTTTTGGATACAGGTGCTTTTTGGTTACGTGAATAAGTTCTTTGGTGGTGACTTCTGGGAATTTGGTGTACCTGTCACCTGAGCAGTATATTCTGTATCCATTATGTAGTCTTTTATCCTTTGCCCACTCCCAACCTTCTCCCCCAAATCCCCAAAATCTATTATGTCATTCTTATGCCTTTGCATCCTTGTAGCTTAGCTCCCACTTATAAGAGAAAACATACAATATTTGTTTTTTCATTCCTGAATTACTCCACTTAGAATAATGGCCTTCAGCTCCACCCAAGTTGCTGCAAAAGACATTATTTTGTTCATTTACATGGCTAAGTAGTATTCCATGATGTACCACATTTTCTTTATCCACTCATTTATTGACAGACACTTAGGCTGGTTCCATAGCTTTACAATTGCAAATTGTACTGCTATAAACATGAGTGTGCATGTGTCTTTTTCATATAATGATATTTTTTTCCTTTGGGTAAATACCCAGTAGTGGAATTGCTGGATCAAATGGTGGTTCTACTATTAGTTCTTTAAGGAATCTCCATACTGTTTTTAGCTATTTCTTGAGCATCCTCCACTGACTGAGCCAAGCTCAGCGCTTGGAGTGCTGTACATGGTAAGTGTGTTGGTGAAGTAATTACAAGACTTTTGAAATGGCAAGAACATGACACTGAGGAGAATTAAACACAAAGAAAAAAATAACAAAAGCCAACCAACCAAACAACATTTGCCAGGAACGTAACAAAGCAGAACAATTAAGGGCAGGCAGAAGAAAATATTATAACTTAGAACAAAAAACTCACTCTTATAACAAAAGAGTGATTTTCTATATAGCCTTTGAATGAAGAATGGAGCTAAAGTTCCAAAATGAGTGTGGAAAGTAGTTGGGCTTTTTTTTTCTTGGTGTTGAATAACAAGCCAGAAGGATTTGGGGGAAGCTTTAGAGAGCAAGGCCGTTCAAGGTTTAGACCTCGTCCAAGTTTTAGGTGACGTGTATGAAACCAGAATGGTTTTGACAAGACAGATTGGCTTTGTGTTATGGGCTTGGCTGAAAATTTATAAGACGGGTCACCAATCTTTCACTGAAGCTTGAGTGCCATCTCTTTTAGGAAGCTTTCCCCGACTCTTGGGAAAGAGAGGCATTGAACCCACTGCACTGTAACTGTTTGCCAGTGCTCTACCCCTGCCATCCCCTGGCTGTGAGCTCCCTAAAGGCAGAGCCTATGAGTTAGTTGTCTCCTGCCTCCTGTGGCCTAGTTTGCAGAATTAGCAACAATACAGCCTAGGAAACTAAAAAACAAGTCACTGAAGCACTGGACATAATGTTCAAGAAATCCTCATAAAGAAAAGAATGAAAGATATATACCTTTTATTTTTTTAAATGGGCTCAATTTCAGTAAACCCTCTATGTTATGTATAACTTAGTAATATAAAATATATTAATGAATTTCAGAGGAATAATTGGTCATTGCATTCAGATACTTTGAGGTGACCATTTTTGCCTGAGCGTAGGGTATGTTTATTATTCTTTGGAAAAATCCATTCCCCTTTAAAAATGTTTTTGCACGTATTACCTGACATCTGTAGGAACACCTCGTTTTAATAGGAATTTACCTTTATAAAATCTATCCTAGAGCTCTTGGGGTTTTAGAATTTAGACAATTAGATTCAGATCTGGGCACTCTTCAGAAACAACGTCTATCTAATTAATAGCAGTTTAAACCATCTTTTATGGAGAGAGAGACCTAGTAAACACTAGTTAGATAAAAGAAGCTATCTATTTTAAATAAGACCAGCTAAGTACTAGATCAAAAGCGCCACATACGTTTACAACCAAATAGCACGGCTCGGAGATCAAAGTGTAGCCTGGCTGAGAGAACAGAACGAGCCTTAACTTAGAAAGCATGAAAAAGGACTACAGAGACCTAACCAATATCATGATTTTAAAGCAGACACATGTCTATGCTTATTTTATTGTTTCAATGTACAGAATCTTTGCTTAAAATGGGGAGAAAGTGTTCCAATTAATAAGTACATAAAATAAAATAAATTCTGAGCCATCAAAGGGCTTTTCTTGCTATTGTTCTTGGCATTTCTGAAAGACAAGTACTTCAAAATGTCTATAATGTTAACCAGCCGCTTTCTTCTAAATTCTGGAACTACGAATCCCAGCCAGTAAGGGCTGCATATTTTTCTCTAGGGATCTTTTAATGCGACCTCTCAACCCCTAACGATCTTTACGTGGGGAAGAAATTTAGCCAAACGACAATCTACTTGGTTGCAATCTAAATCAGAATGTGAATGTTGCTGTAAGAACAGGCATTGTTAAAGTTACTATCAAACAGTGGGAAACTGTAAGAAAATAAAATACGGTAAGTGACAGGACACTTTATGGATGTGCCCAAACCAGTCGTCAAAGACATCAGTTGGGGAGCGAGTGAAGTATGATGTTATTTCAAAGTAACTGCCTGCTGGACTTAGACTTCCCAGGGTATACAGTTTATTCTTGCTATTTTTCAGCCAGGCTCTAATCATAAATATAGATTTGTAAACTGTGTCTTTTCTGTTAACCATTCTTACTTGTTAATATAGAAAGACAACTTCTGTCCTTTGTACATTGTGAAAGTGCAGAGCTGGGATATTTAATAGGCCAGATTTTACTAAAGTCAGCTGTGGATTTCTTAGGCGTATGGAACCATATGCTTTCCGAGTGGCCAGCAGACCTCACTCAGACATTTATCTTGATGTTCAGATGCCTTTCATTTGCTGGTAGATTATAAACCACTATAATCATTTCAAAGCCTCCTGGCTCTGATCTAAAACTAAAGTAAAAAAGAAAAAGAGTACCATGGCATTGCTCAGGAAAGCTATGCAAAGGCAGTGGTAGCCAGTTTGTAAGATTCCCCAGTG